AGGCAGATACTTAGTGTTCTGATAATATTACTGAGTATGAATTTCTGTAGAATCGCTTTAACACTTCCATAGGATAGGAAACAATAAAGCAGAAACACAACATTTGCTTTAGGTGTTCTGGGAACCAAATACCAATACCACCACTACAATAAGACATTTCAATACAACGCAAAAAGGGAAATTAAAAAATAGTTTGTCACAGAGTTCCTCAGAAATACACACATATTCCCATCTCCTGAAAAGGAATGGAAGAGCAAGTCACATCCTGTGGTCCCTTATTACCCATTAAAAGGACTGACTCTCACTGTAAATGTGAAGGAAGATCACTGAAGATCACTAAGTCCTTAGATAACTTAAGAACAAAGGACAGAGATGCCCATATCTGAGATTAAGAGAAAGAAACACAGGTTTCTCAGAAACCATTTCCATTGGAGCAGAACTGCCCAAACCCACAATTTATAGCCTGGCCTTCCCCTTGACCTCTCACCTGTGTCATCTGCTTCATTCACTCCCACCTACCTGGCTGTTCTGCTAAAGTTTCATGTCTCTTCACATTCCAGGGCCCTTTCCTTTGCTCCAGACAGGTGATCAGGTCTGGCTTAAAGACAGCAAGACCTGTTTTATGAGAAAAAAAAAATGACATCACTCTTGCTAGGATTCTTCAACTACCAACCTACTACTGTGCTCAGTAGAAAAGAGAGAACATTATATAAGATTTTAGAAAATTAATCAAAAATGCCATTCCCTGTTGGAAACTTTGGAATATTTAGGAAATATTTAAAATTTGTGAGTCTTGGCCAGGTGTGTTGGCTCATGCCTGTAATCCTAGCACTCTCTGAGGCCAAGGTAAGACAGTCGCTTGAGGTCAGGAGTTTGAGACTAGGCTGAGCAAGAGCGAGACCCCATCGCTACTAAAATTTAAAAAATTAGCCAGGCATGGTAGGACACACCTATAGTCCCAGCAACTAGTGAGGGTGAAGCAGGGGGATCACCTGATCCCAAGAGTTTGAGGTTGCAATAAGCTATGATGACACCACTGTCCTCTAGCCAGGACGACAGAGCAAGACTCTGTCACAAAAGCAAAATAAAACAAAACTAAAATAAAATAAAATAAAATTTGTGGGTTGCTATCTCTATTACCCAGCACCAGTGAATCAAAAACTGATGCTGGAAATTTAATTTTAAGAAGTAGATAATATTTTACGCTCCTAAATTTCTGAAATTACCACTAATCTAGAATAAAGAATACAGATCAGCTTGAGAATGGGTAAGATTAAAGTCAAGATAAAACATCTTGAAGATTTTTCCTATGCAACAAATCCCCAAGATTGCCTTGGAAACAAAGATCTAAAATTAATTTATATAAAGCAGAAACTCCCAGAAAATTTCCTACAAAGAAAGGATATGAAATCCTTCACGTGGAAGAGAAATTGTGTATTGAAGGTATCCTCACCGAGGGAGACCAGGTTTCTGTAGTTCTCTAACATCACATCTCTATACAAATTCCATTGAGCAGGTTCCAGGCATGCCTGCTCTTCTGGAGAAAATTCTATGGTCACATCCCTGAATGTCAACAGTCCCTGAAAGAAAAACACATATTTACAAAGTGGCTATGGGAAGATTCCTTAATTTGGCTCCACGTGAAATGAGAGAGGGAAGACAACAGTTTCTTAATTATATGAGTGACTGGAATTATTCAAAAAGACAATTTTTAACACAACAATATTCTGTAAGGTATTCTGTAACTCTTAGGAATGAAACTGACATAAGATCAACAAATCCAGTGTAGGTACTATAGTTTTCTGGATGATACAGTATAAAATTCAAGGCGCCGAAACAGACATTTACATTTTGAAGTTCTACATTACATCATGCAGGATAAGATGTGTATATGTTTCAGATGGAAAAGTCATGCTGAGGCAAAAGGTATCTCTCAAACTTTAATGTGTACAACAACGAAGTGGAGATATTGTTCAAATGCAGATTTTGATTCAGGAGATATGGAGTGAATCTTGAATTTCTATCAAGCTGACTAGTGATGTCAATGCTTCTGGCCCAAGAGGAATGTCTTTCAAATGTCCAGTAAGTGGCAGAGTGTGGCTTTACTCCAGTTCTCTGACTAGAAAATAAATACGAGTGCCTTCATTTTCCAAAGCAAGCTATGTGCAAAGAAAATCTAAACAGAAAGGGAGCTTCCAGATTAAATGTGATAGTTTATGCACATCAGTTGGTAAATCCTCACAAGTTTCCTATTAATAGTTAAGAGAAAAATAATAACTCTACAGTGGAAAAATTTATCAGAGAGAACCTTAACCAAGTGAATAAAAATAACATGAACTATAATAGGACAAATTAATATTAGGAGCCAATGGACGCAGACACAACATCACTAAAAGCAAACTAAAATGAATGAAAACTATATATCATATCAATATAACCGCAAAAAGAAAAGTTTAGTTGTCATGACTTTAAAGCACAGTACACTAATAAGAGATCTGTGGTGGAGTATACATATTCTATTTGTACCAGACATTAAAATGATGTAATTTCCAGGTTCTAGAAACTGATGCCAAACATACAGGTATAGAAAGCTTTCAATGTGTTTCTATTATGTAGTATACCTGACAAAAAAACTGAATAAAGTCAGCACAAGACAACTTGAAGTTAATCACAAATGTCAAAATAGGTAATGAACTTCTAATAAAATAAGATTAAATTTCATTAAAAACACATAATATATATGTGTATCACACTGAAATGCAAACATACTTGAAGATATAAAGTGTTGTTATATTAAGTTAGTTTAGGAGATGAAAATAGTAATCATTGTTCATGATTGTGAAAACAGCATTGTCTAAGCACATATCTATTTATATCTACATATGTTTATTTATTTTCTATCCATCGATCCATAAGATGTATGAGAAAGTATGCACTTAAAATAAATGGGAGTGTCTGATAAAAGGTGCATTTGAAAGGTATGACAAAAGTTAGATAATTACATTATGTCCAGAGACTTGTATATCAACTCAGAAAATATAAAATGAGATTATTTCCTCAAATCTTTCAGATGATTTAAGAGAATATGCAAAAAAAGGTGTAGTTATGATTATGATCTGACAATATGGGAGACAATGTTCATTTCCATGGAGAATAGAAGCCCATTTTAAAATAAATACAAATTATAAAAGTATCATTGGAAAGACTAATAAATTAGATGATCTCAAAAATAAATATTTCTGTGCTCTTATATAATAACTGGATCTATGAACAAATTTCAATGATCTCCATATGTTTTTATAATCCTCTTCCTCTCGTTTTATAACAGATTCTCAGTCCAGTGGGGCCTGAAAAACAGAACCCTGTAACTTTTAACAATTTAACCTTTTTGAGTTGTTTTCCAGAAATGGCAGATTTTCCGCAAAACAAAGGAGTTGAGATTCCAAAGGCCCCTGTGCAGACTTCCTGATACCAAGACTCACCATCCCTCACTAACCTGCTCCAGTGCATATAACACCTCATCTATTTTAACACAACCTATATATGCCCCAATGCACATAGCCTCTAGCAAAAAAAACTTGCTCCTTCTGTGAAGTGGGAAGTGGAAACAATCAAAAAAATCTCTCCTTTATGACTAGAGGAAAACGAACACAGGAATCATTCTTTTCTAACAAAATCTGGTATTCTCCACACTGTGGCCTTTTTGGGCCCCAAATCTGTAGACATACCTGGTCCAATTTTTTCAAACCTAATTTTACTTATTTTTCGCAATACCTTTTCAAGAAGCTCTACTGAGTAATTCTTGAAAATGTATAATCTCGTTTACACTTTAAAAAGAATTTCCCCAGTCTGAATAATATGAATAGACATGTGATGCTTTCCCATGAATTGCAAAAAGATAGGTCAGAAACCTGATTTCATGGTAATCATTCTCATCTGTTTGGTGTATTTTGCAATTATTTGTGAATACTCATGAAGCCTCTCAGATAAGCGCACACTAAGCCCACAATAAGCCTACTAAGCTACGAAACATCATAGCCCTACTTTTACGTAAATAGATGTACTATATATTTTGAAAGCTTCTATGGATTTTCCTAATCTACAGTTTAAAATACAAGCATAGGTAACTCTATAAACCAGTTTACAGACCAACACACATGTAAGGAATAATTACACTACATATAAATTTCCCCTGTAAAAGAAAATACATCTCACAGTTCCATTTCCCCCTTGGCAGAAGGGAGAATATAGGAAAGCTCAGTAAAAACAGTTAAAGGGAGTGGACATCCAATCGGAGAGTTTGAAGTTCATGACTACTAGAAGGACAGGGGAGTGGAAAGGCTCTCAGTGAAAAAGGAAACAGGCCTGGAAAGGAAATGACTTGCTCAAGTTCATGCAGGTGCTGCTCCCCATCACTGGCATCACCACCTGAGTTCTGCCTCCTGTCAAATCAGTCACTGTCTCCCATCACCCCTCCTCCATGGTCTAAAGTTCTACTCTCTTTTAAATTTAACTCCACATTCTCTTCTTTTAGATGCATGCATGTGTACATATGTAGGTTATATGTTGTCTCTACATGTATGCATACATTTATACATGTGTTTGTATATTGTCTACATGGTATCTAATTAACCTAAAAATAAATGAGCATTCATAAATCAAGTCAACAACACCAAATATTTTCCGATTTCACATGACTTGAGTAAATATTTTGGTAAATATGGTTAGTTTAATAAAAATAATTATGTCTTCTGACGTATCAGCAAAATACTCATTTACTTGACTTTAAGGTTATTGCTTTTATACTTGCCTAACAGAGTAATATAAAAATGGTTATAATAAAAAGTTTAACCTGAGATGATGGCTAGATTTTTCTTATGTCTCATGAGATTTACAAACATAACTGTTAACAATGAATAAAGCAGACATAAATGGAATGGAAGTTTATAAATG